ATTAATAAAATACATATATGTGTAGACAGAATACGAGATTGCAGACGTGTGCCCTAGAATATCAAGATGCCTCCCAAGCTCCTGCAAGCTAAACCCCAAACCCAAGTCCTTCATGAAACTTCAACTCCTGATTTCCGACTCCGAAAGCCCCTATCTCCTGGGGCCGAAATCCACAACGAGAAACTGTAAGGGCACACCACCCGGGCGGCAGCAAGAGCCGATCGGAAAAACCAATAAACCCTAATCCCTAAAGCCCTCACAGCCTAAACCCCAAACCCCAAAAACATCTAAAAACTAAGCCACTAAGCCCTAAAGGCCTAATTTGTCGAGGCCTTTGGCAGACAGCTCGGAGCCTTCCACCACGGCCTCGGGACCCTCGGAGCGCTCGCTGCGGACGCCTCGGAGGGGGGTTGGGTTTGCTTTACCTTGAACTACCATAACCTACTTTTTTGTAGGTCCTTATTATAAACCCTAATATAGAATTTTATAGGCACCCTACAAAATAGTAGGTTGTGGTAGTTCAAGGTAGTATTCAGGGTCAGACGGGTTTGGGGTTTCGTGCGGAGGTTTGGGCATGCAGGCCTCATGAAAGCCCTTTGTTTAGCTAAGAGTTGTGCAGCCGAATCAGCACGGGGAGGTCCATGCTCCCACCGCTGTCTTTGCCGTCGACGCCAGTCACTGCGAGCCCGGGACGTACCCGAGTTGCAGAGACGGGGAGCGGGTTGGTTTGTAGGCTCCTCCGGGTTAGGTGGCAATCAACTCGAGCCATGACTCTTGCCCAATATCCCTTTCAAGCGTGTCTGCAGAGGGTGGCTCCTAAGCACAACTTCGTGGGCCGGCTGAGGGCTTTTGATTCCCTTCCTTGCCCTTCCTCTGCAAAGCCTGAGCCTCACAAGGCAGTCCGGCAGCGTTGGCGCCGCAGAGCCCTTGGAGCCCCTGGATGAGCCCCCGGCAGAGCCCTGCAGGGCCCAGCACCAAGCGACTGCGGCGGGCTCCACGGCTGCAGCTGGATCGTCTGGGAGGCACTTGAGGATGCAAGGATTCAGATTTACATGATACAATCCCGTTTAGATGAGCCTGCTCCCTCCGGAGTTTCTTCGCTGCCTTCACCTGTTGCCAAGGCGAGCTCCCAGACATTCGCGGAGGTGCCTTGAGCTGCAACTTTGGGCCTTGAATTCGGCTTGAGAGACTGGGCCGGCGATCCTTCGGAGCTTCAGCTGCCAAGGGCTCTCCGAGCTTCGTCGCGAGGGACCTGTACCAGTCGCCGACTTTGCATCCTGCCGGCCTGCACCCGAGACAGTAGCCGAAATGGACTCAGGGATTTTGGCATCTTAAGGTTTGAGAGGCAGCTTCCAGGGGCCGCGCTCATTGCAAAGCTCCGGAAGTGACACTTCCGTTAAGCAATCTCGAGCTAAACCTGGCGACCTGTACCTGGTGCCAAGGGGATGTGGGCAGACTCACTGTCCAAGGCCTGGTGTCTCTGGTCGGTAATCACTCAAGCGAAGACAGCGGTGGTCGTGAAAAACTTGACGAACGCTGTCGAATTCCACATCTGAGCCTGAACGGCTTTCAGGTGCAGCGCCACCCACAGAGATCCGCCGCCTTTTAAGGCTCCTGGCAGAGAAGGGGGCAGTGGCACAGATGTCGGGTCAATGTTTGGGCTTGCACTGTTAACGCTTCCGTGCCGAGGCAGTGCATTGGACACAGCACTGGCCAGGGCCTCGGAGTTCTTCAGAGCGAACATCCACCTTAGTTACTGATTTCGGCCACAGCAGCTTTCCATCAGATGAATGCACATACATTTGATGTATGTTGTAGGTATACCTATGGAAAAAGAAGAACAGAAATGAGAATATGGGTATGTGAAGGTTGCAACGACTCAGGTGCAGACGAAGAAGTCCTGGAAGCTTTCGAGCTCCTCGCGGTCCTCTGGCAACAGGCTGGCCAGGCCCCTTGGGCCGAAATTTCCCGGGCTTTCTTCCCCCGGTTAAAAAAAACGGGGGCCTTGAGGATCACACTAGGGCCTTACTACAGCTCGGGGTTGTTGAATGATGAAATTCTAGTATAGTTGTGCAAGCAGAGCCCTTTGAACTCCAGGTCAGAAGCCTCAAAAGGCAGCTAGATTGTTATGTCTAGAGTCCCTGCACGATAAATGGCACACTATGTATCGCAACGATTTTTCAAGTTCGGGGGTGTATGGGGCAGTGGCTTCGGGAGCATTCCTTCATGCCAATGGCCGCTGTAGGGAGGGAGGTGATGCCTTGTCACTCAGTTCAAGATGGACAACATGGCAAGGTAGCAGCAACAACAGCACCGCCATTCAGTGGTGCCCAGCATTACAAGCACCGCAACAGGATCTAGGCCTGTTCAAGCTTGCAGTCCTGAACCTCCAAGATGATGCCAAGGTCAGTGGACTGAGTTGGATGAATTGCAAGCTGGACTGGCTGCTTGCCGGCACAAGCACTTGATCATTGCAGTTTGTTGAGGGCGTTGAAGGGTTTCTGTCTTCTGGCTGTGTCAAGAGTTTTTGACGGTACTTGTGGGTAGCCAACGGGCCGTATTCTTAAACGTCTTGGGTCCGCATTGCGCAGTGGTGCCCTGAGGAAGTTGAGCCACCAGCTGGAGGAGCTGTGCCCAGGGCCAACATCAAAAAGATCTGATCGAACTTTGCACTGAGATGGCATTACTCTTGAGCGGAGGATCCTCTCAGCGTTTCGAGCGGGGCTTTGCCTTTATGGGCAACGACGAGCCTCGGTTTAGCAGTTTAGCGTTAGCATCACTATCCTTGTCCACATGGGGCTGGGTGCAAGCTCTTGAGAAGATGCAAAGCTTTGAATCGAGGCTGCCGAGGGCTTGCCCCTTCCTCTTCAGAGACTTGGCTCGTTCTAAAAAGCAAATTGTCCGTTGTGCTGAAGTAATAAGTCGCGAGAAAACACCATTTGACAGCACGGACAGCCGTGATGAGGCCTGCAGACTCGAAAGATGCTTTTACGCTACACTGCACTGGGGCCATCGCTCGCTGTTCACTGGGCGCAAGAGAGCAAGGCCGCTTGGAATCACATTCACAACAGTCCAGCAAAGAGTCATAGACAGACTTGCCAGGTCGGGCCATACCTGTTCCTTGGCCCACTTGGTGCCGCTGCCAGAATGTTTGAAGCCCGAAACCCTCCCAGGCGTCGCCGCAACTCCCTGCCGACGGAACTTGGTGCAGCCACGCAGGGCGACCCCCGCAAAGTCGAGGTCCTTGGGAGAGCATGTCAATCGATTCTCACACACTTCCTGTCTCGCAGGAGCTCTTGCAAGAAGTGTCGAACATCGAGGTCCCCAGACCGGTTGATCAGTCGTTGTTGCAGTCTACTGGCTATGCGGAGGGAAATGCGGATAGTGCTGCGAACCAGAGGGTCAGACGAACTTGGCTGAACGTAAGTGACATAGCAGGTGCTAACGAGGGTTCCCGATTCGTCCCGGATATGTTCAAGAAGGTTCCAGGCGCAAGCCCGCTTTTTTCCACCAGGATCACGTAGTCAGATCCGACTTCTGGCTCGGCGCGTTGCAGAGCACTCTACTTCGCCTTCAGCGCAATTCAGGCCCTCTCTGCCTTTGGTGCTTGTTGACCCTTCCATGCTCAGTTGGTAACTCTTCCGGATTTGTGCAGGGCTTCTACCACAATGCAGAGTGTAGTAGCCTCCGCCTCCCAGGTCGTCCCGACAGCCCGATTTGCGATGCTGGGCGCCTGGGAAAATAGGTTCTTCCGGGACGCTACTTCTTGTAAGTGTGTTCATTGTGAGCATATGTGAGGATCATGATGGAGATTAAAACTTCGTCGATTCGGTACCATGAGCACCAAACACAGCAAGGACCTTGCTTGGAGGGTTTGCAGCGAAGTGTGTTCAGGTTCCCAGGTATCATGGGTAATGACTGCACGAGAAGCTCTAAAAATGCAAGGAAACTACTGATGACAACAGGGTCACAGCAGTGGCAACATCTGCAACCAGCAGCCAGAGCGGAAAGCAGAGCGATCAGACAATGGCTCAAGAGAACTAAAAGCACCCAAACGTCTCACAGTAAAGGAGCTAACCAATAAGAGCCACGGCCAATTCAGTAGTTCCACTGCAGGAGCAAAAGAAGCAGAAGCAGCAGCAACAGAAGGCAGAACCAGCAAAAGCAACTGCAACAAGGATAAAGGCACAGGCAGCAACAAAAACACACCAAAACAACAGTCACTGCAATATTGATGATGCCGGATGTTGTGGTGAGGATGATGATGATGATGATGATGATGATAGTGATGATGATGGTGATGGCGGTGGCGGCGGTGGTGGTGGTAATGGCAATGGCAATGGCAATGGCAATGGCAATGGCAATGGCAATGGCAATGGCAATGGCAATGGTGGTGATGATGAAGGTGATGATGGTGACGATGATGATGATGATGATGATGGTGCCGGTGTTGCTGTTAGTGTTGGTGATAATGATGATGCTTCTGAGGTTACCGGCGAGCGAAGCGCGGAAGATCATGCCGACGAGCTCCTGCTGCAGCAGGAGTGCATCGTGCCGGCGAGGGGGGAGAGTCCAGTTGCTGAGGAGTGGAGCATGTCCCACAATACAGTACCATACAGTCATAAAATATAGTACTGTACTGCGACGTACAGCAATGAAGTTTACCGATTCTTATATTGTAGCATGACACATTGAAATAGAATCTAAGTGCAGCGGCTTTAAGACTTGGTGGCGTAGAGTTTAGTGACAGGAACTTTTGCTTGCGCCAGCCTTGCAAGCATACTCGTGTGCTCCAAGGCCTTCACAGTTCTAGCGCTTTCAAACCTAGCTGACCTGAAACTCTGCATGCGATCCCAATCCAAACCTGTGCCCCCAACCAAAGTGTCAGATATTCCTACCAAGTTGCTGAGTCCTGCGTGAAGCTCGCACAACCTCGCGGAGCGTCCCTAAACCTGCATTAAACCCTGACAGCACTGTCGCCAGAGAAGGCCGAAGCAGCGATGGAGCGAATCGCCCCATCGGACCGGCTCCTGGAGGCCTACGCGGAAGAGCTTTGGGGCTTGGGCCACGTTTGAAGCAGCTTGAGGCCTTCTTGAAGGAGGCTTTCTTGGACTTGTTTCGGAGCTTTTGTGCCTGTGTGTGTGTGTGTGTGTTTTTGCTGCGTTGGGGGCTTCTGGTCTTGGCGTCTGTGGCGCTTCCGGACCTCTCGTTCGCCGAGTTTAGGGATTAGAGCTCTACTGTGAACCCTCTCCTCAACCATCATCCTTGTCCTCGGAGAGGTGCAGTTTGACACGGAGACGGGCTTCGGCAGCGCCGTCACGCGGTCTTTTTATGCAGAGGCTGGTTGCATGCTGGCGAGGCTTCAAGCCGAATCTTGCTCTTTGCAGGTTGCCAGAGCACTGCAGAACAGGGCCACGAACCGAAAGGTTCCCATGTGGGTCGAGGCTCGCAGGGGCGGATACGGGAAAGCCCTCAGCTTCTACACGCCGGAAATCATTTGACAGGATGATTCAAGCAGCAGCGGCAGCAGTGGCAGCGGTGGCGGGTCCAGTCGGCCTCCTAAAAGCACAGTAGGACCCGAAGAGGGCGTGTGCAGAGCATGCAGAAACCCCTGCGGATTCAACACCGCCAGAGTTTCGGGAAGACGTGGAGGGCTGTAGGTAGTTGGGGGAGTCGATGAAGGCACAAGCAAAACAAGGTCAGCACCTACGCTGCCGCTCCGGGCTGTGGGTGCGTCCGCTGCCACCATCCAGCCCAATGAGGGAGGCCTGTCCTCCAATCGCAGATTTGCAGTTTTCGCCACAACTATCAGCAAAACCGGGGAGCAGCGATCAGATGAGGCGGTGTACGATGCGTGAAAATAAAGCATTTCCCGGCTTTCACAGGCTGCCGAGCGCCGTTTCCGCTTCCTGGGCCGCCTGGTGGGGCGCGCACTAAAGGACGGCTTCATTGTCCCATTGCCACTGGGAGAGGCCTGCTCCGGACGGACAGCGCAAGTATGACCTTAGCAGAGTGGCACGAGACCGCTGCAATGATGAACAAGCGATCCGGCAGGTCTTTTTTGCCCGGACTCTCTTGGGCCAGAAGCCCGCCAAGCTGCACGAGAGCAGCAAACGAGAACCGCTGGCAGCGTTGCCCAGGACCGTCATTGGTGTGCTTAAGTTGTGCAGATTTTGTCGAACAGTTTGAACCCTTTGTGCACAGACCCCTAGAACTTTGGAACTCACTTTCTCGGCGCACTGCGATGTCCTTTGGCTTCCCTGGCAGGCCTGGAGCGGGCTGCGCACGAGCCTTATCCTCCGACAGCCCTTCAAGACTGGATTCTCAAAGTAGAACTGATGAGGGATGATTACGATGGTGGTGATGACAATAGTTCAACAATACGAGCAATGATTATGCTGGTTGGAGCGGCAGACATAACAGCAGCAGCAGCAGGCATAAGAGTGGATGCAAGAGTAGTGGGAGTGCACGTGCTGTTCCGCGGCAATACCCGTCGTAGCAGTACTAGTAGCAGTAGTAGTAGTAGTAGTAGTAGTAGTAGTAGTAGTAGTAGTGGTAGTGGTAGTGGTAGTGGTAGTGGTAGTGGTAGTGGTAGTGGTAGTGGTGGCGGTAGTGGTAGTGGTAGTGGTAGTGGCAGTGGCAGTGGCAGTGGTAGCTGTAGTGGTAGTGGTAGTAGTAGTGGTAGTAGCAGTAGTAGTAGTAGTAGTAGGAGTAGGAGTAGGAGTAGGAGTA